CTTTCCTGTTCCTTATTGCAATCCAGTCTTCACCAATTCTGTGTATATATGTGTTTAATGAAAGAAAACATAGGACAACATGAGGACAGAATATTCCTAAAGTGGAAAAACAGAGTTTGCTTTTTTATGCAAGGTATTAGATTAATCCAGAACTACTGAGATAATAGATAGAATTTATAATATGTTTAGATTGTGGTTTTCAGCAGTGAAGAATAGGTTTAAAGTTGAATCATGACAAATGACAAATATTAATCCAGTAAGGAAGTGCAAGAAGGCTTCCATGTGTATTATGTGTGGATTTATGTAGATAAAAATATGGACTCACCTCAGTATTACTTTTGGTGGAAAAGACAGAGACCTAGCCCACATAATCATGGTTTAAATAAACCTTGGTTGACTGTGGTGCATGCTGGTAAATGTTTGTCTATTCAAGCTACAGGCAAGAGCGGGTTGTTAGCATGGTTAACAAACTACCCACAACCCTTAAACAGATAACAGGTTTTAGGTAGTTTGCAAGCCGTGCCAAGAATCTGTCCTTAGCATGTGTGCACAGCACAACAAAGCTGCAACCTGAATATGCAAAATGGCCACACACTATTAAGTCCTGGATATTAATTAACCCACCATGGCTTTGTGTGACATGTGGACACACCTAGAATGTAGAAAAACTTAATGAAGAACCAGATGAAGTTGGAAGATAACATACAAACTGAGAATCTCAAACCTTCAGAAAGTGAATTCAACGAATGATCCACACCTGCTGGTAAATCCTGGTGGTACTTCAGACCTGAAAAACATTTGGTATAATTAAAATAAGGCATCAGTTTTGCAGAAATCAGCACCATCATGATAACAATGGGCTGACAGTGGGGTTTTTCACCCCCCACCTCAGTCTTCCAATGGGTATCTCAGGGGACACTGCATCAGGACCAACTTGTCTCCCTCTCCCTGCTGCAGTTTTGGCTTGCTTGTTTGGAAAATGGAAAGCCATAAATTACTGCATTTCCACTCAATGTTCCTGAAGGAATAGATCAGTGTTTTTCAACAGTACTGCAATGTTACTGCTCAACATAGGAAAGGCAGGGTGTTGAGCATTTTTAACTGTACATTTCATACATGGTTTCACAAGCTGGCAGAAATAGTGCACATGATTCTATATGTTCTAGGACTTAGAATAAAGTTCTATTTCTCCAAAGTGATAAACACTTGAAATATTTTGCCTCTCAGTGGATTATTGCCCATCATATTTTACAAACATCCCTGTGATTTTGCAGATGTTCCGGGCAAATGGCCAGACTGCCCAATTTCTATTTCCATTACTGTTCATTCTGTTTTTCTTGTACTAGAATACTATGTGATGCTTAATACCGTCACATATTCTTTTTTGGAGTTTTTCAGTAATCTCTCCCATGGCACTGAAATCCTCAGCATAGAAAAGATGTTTGGCTGGAGGATCAGAAGCAATTTCTCTCAATTCTTCCTCAATTGCTTTCCCTATTCCAATGGCATATATGGTGATTCCTGAAAACAAATCAACAAAAAAACCCACAAAAATACCATTTTCATTATAAACAATATAATATCAAGGCTTTGTTTTGGCCTATAACTCCCATCAGCCCTTACCATTGACTAAGCTGGTTAGGGCTGATAGGAGTAAGTCCTACTTTTAAAAGCAAAGCAAAACAAACAAAATAATATAAAGGCTCCACTACAAAGGATGTTAGTTGTATTTAAGTGTTTATAAAATTAATCAAACAAGTTATTCCTGGTAACAGTCATTTAAAACATAATTATCTTTCTCTGGATTGAAGCCAATATGCAATGCTTTTCATATCCCTTATGCCAGTTCAGTTGGTTGTGTGTGGTTGTCTTTGTTTACATTCTATATTTAGTCATTACACATCATCATTATCATATTCATTCAGATTTCAGAATTTTAACCAAAAGTTCTAAGCTTTTGAACATTGACATAGAGAGCAATGTTCACTCATGTACGCTCATAACTGATTATTTTAATATCTGAATGAGTCATCATGGATCCTTTAAGATTACCAATTTTAAATTACTTGACATCATCTTTAACACAATGCTTTTCAGGTGATTCAGAATCTAACCACATATTCCATACAAATATGAGCAGCGACACTCCAATCAAAATATGCTTCATGTATCCCCTGCTCATGGCCTTCCTGCTCCATTTTGCCACTCCGACCTAGTTTCCTTTGCAAGATTCTAGACAAGTTTAGCCTTACAAATATGTCTGAAAAGCTGCAGGAGAAAATATCCCAGCCTCCTGCTTCTTGCAGTGAAAAAATGGCAGGTGGGATGAGAGTTGAGCAACCCACAGATGCTTCTTGGTGCAAACTGTCCCCTCCTGGTGCTGATTTTGGGATTGGATGAAAGGCTTATTTGGTCAACTATTCTTTTCCCATTAGGACCAACCAGAAGCCTATGGAAAGTCTGCAAGCAGGACATGAATACAAGAGCACTCTCTTTTGTTTTGTTCATAAACTGGTACTGAGAAGTATATTGCCTCTGATATTGGAGGTAATACTTGGCTGTCATGATTAGTAGCCATTGATAGCTTTAGCTTCCCCAAATTTGTCTGATCCCCTTTTAAAGCCATCAAAGATAGTATTCATCATATCTTATGGTAGCAAATTCCATAGTAACTATGCACGGAGTTATTTCAACATGCGAGACTTTGTAGGATGATTCCTCTAGTGCAACAAACTTTTGATCAGAAGAATGTAAAAACATACTAGTAACCAGCACTTTAGCAGGTGGTCTTAAGTTCTAAGCAAACTTCCATCATACCTCTTTGCTTTGCTTTAGTAGCCCATTCAGAAACTTCATCCTGGGCACGTCCATCTGTAAACACAATAGACACTCTGGGTACTTTTGCTGAAGAGTGTCTGCCTCCTTCTGCTTCAGTGAAGCTTCTCTCAGTCATTTGCTTCAGGGCAAGCCCAGTCATGGAGCCTTTCCCCATATATTTCATTTGGGACACAGCTTTCTTCATGTCTTTGGCTGTGCTGAATTGTTTCAGTGTAAATTCTGTGCGGACCTGAGTAGAATATTGCAGCAAACCAACTCGTGCAGATTTAGGAGATATTGTAAGGGAGTCCAAGATTCCCAGGACAAATTCCTTTACAATTTCAAAGTTATTTTCTCCTAGACTTTTTGATCCATCTATCACAAACACTAGATCAATGGGGCCTTCATCACATCCTGTTAAAATAAAAAACAAAAGGAAGAACCAATGAAAGAACATAATAGGATCAAGAGCAGGAGAAAATAATCTTCTAGTGTAACATAAGGTTAAATAAGTACTCCATTCTACATGCCACGTATTGACAGATAGTTAATTAAAAGAATATATACTAGAAATCAGATAAGTTTTTATTCATAACAGAGAAAACAGACACAGCAGAGAGTGGTATTAAGTGGTGTCAGCAGAACTCGGTTACATACATTTGCACATAATGTGGCATTATCCCATAAGAAAAAAAGCCCCTTCAGCCTTCTGCCCCTCCACCCCCACCACACCTGTTTGCAGAGGCATAACAGGAACAACAGTACAAATGGGGAGAAACTATACTGTGCAGTGAAGAACAGATTCATATTTTTCCCTGATGTACTAGTTTCCTACATGTATGGAGAATTTTTGTTTGCAGGGCAAAGCATTAAAAAATGAAGTTCCTTCATCTGCAGTCTGAAGTGGTATGAACAAGGAAGGCACCATGTGAATTTGTTTGTTGATGGCAACAGACATTCCCTGGTACCCGCTGTTTGAGTACCTATGCGTTGATGCTTTTTGTGGAGTTCTGTCAGGCATTTTTACTATACAATGCCTGTTGTAAAGCGTATTAGAGATGAGGATAAAAAGTAAGGAACAGAGACTATGCTTTTTTCCCTCATTTGTGCATGTACAGGGTTAGACAGCATCTGTATTGGGTTTTGTAGCCGAAAGTTTTACAGCCCACAATCCGCACAAGTCACCTTTTTTCAGTGGATACAGAAGGATGTTGCACCCACACGAGTGGGTTGGTTCATGTAGAATATGTCCAGGTATCTGTCACACTCCTGTCCCTCCTCTTGTCCCATCTATTTTTCTGTACCTCTGCCTCATCCTTTGGCCAAAGATGCCTGTTAATGACTGGATCTTCCCATGGAAAGTACCTTTTTCTGTTGCAATCCTTCTCCACTTTGTAGGCCTCTTTACCCACACCCCCTCCTCTGCTTTCCCTCACTGAAGATCTACTGAGCCTTGACTTTGTGCAGGGACCTCAAACATGTCAAACTGGTGTTCCCTTAATGTATTCATTCCCACAGACAGCTCGTGTGACCGCCATTGTCTCCCTCATGCCTGTAGCCAGTGTCTTCTTGTTTCCCACACCCCCACCTCATGCAGCATCTTCCTGCACAGCCCTGCCTTCCCACCAAGGCCCAGAAGTTCATCTGTCAATCCATGATACCCACTTCTCTGCAACCTGCTCTGACTCCCTTTCCCAGCCTCACCCCACATGCTCCCTCATCTCCCTCCCTTGTATTGCTGTCCCAGTTTCAACATGCTTCAGGAAATTCCCATGAGCACACTCACACTGCCCCTGAGAACACATCCACTCTGCTGGACACCCACCTCCCCCCACCCACTCTTGGCACCAAAATGCCCTGGCTCATCATCCCCCCTCCCTCCCTCTGCCCCCATCTTCCTTATCTCATTGATACGAGAATCCCCCCTTCCCTGCCATTCCCTGCTTCGAACTTCTTGTTCAGGTCCTCTGCTCCCAGCACTCTGCTGCTCACCAGTCCACTTTCAAGCTTTCTCACTCTTCTGTTTCCCCCCAGCCCTTTCAATCAGCATCAAGGACAGTCTCCTGCCCTGCTCCCTGCCAGGAAATACATCCCCATGGATATCACTGCAGTCTGTACGCTCACATGCGTGCATCTTACCAAACCCTCACCACAAGAAAGCAAAACCCATCTTTATTTTCACACCATCATAGTGCATCTCCATGTATGAAAAGTTATATTCAGAGAGAAAATACAACATATCATACCTCAAAATTACCTATTATCTCTTCTGCTGCTGAGAGAGCTTTGCTGTGCAACACCTAACCATCTCAATCCCCATTAGAGCATTCTTTCCCCTGCTAGCATACATCAACTGAAGTCTGCTACTTCTGCAACTAGAAATAACACTTCCCATTTCCTAACATTATAGAAAACTGTCTGCACATCTGCACACCAAAGCTTGCATGCAACAATATACTAAGGGCAAGGAGAACTGTCTGCAGGACTTCTTTGAGGGAAAGACAATCATGTCATGGCATATCTACCACCTGCAGATTTCTCTGCAGGACAGGAGACCCTTATAAGCTGCTCTATCACCTCCAAATGTTCTTGTGCATCCTTGCTATGGACCTCTGAATATTGTCTATCACTGCTCTTGCTCCTTGATCATGTGGTTACAAGCATATGCATCAGCATGGTATTGGTTCTGGTAATCAGTCTTAGGTGTCACTTTAAGGCAGTGCCATGATATTCCTTGCCATACTTCACCCAATTTGTAGGTATAGCAAACCATATTGGGGCATATCTCCTGGGGAATATTCTGTAACCCACTTCTGAATCAGTCCTTGATTCTGAAAAGCAAACTATCTTAAAAGTATGTAAACTTAAATAGGTTGACATGTAGTTCTATTCTTGTATATTCTAAGGTATACATGAGGTTTATTAGCAGGAAACTCCTTTTATTCATTTTCCATCCAAATTAAACAAATACGAGTAGTGAATCCTCTAGCTAGCTCCTGGCGAACAAAAGAAAGCCCCATCTTGAATGTGGAAGGCATATTTATCCTCCTTTAGGAGAAATGTTAAAATGTTTAATAAGAAGGAAGAATGTGTGACTTGAAGTAGAGTAAGGTTGGGGCATGCAGTGTTGAAACACTAGAAACTGAGAAGGTACTTGAACCCAGCTGTTAGAATTGCCCAGTGCTTGAGCAAGAATTACAGCTGTTTATTGGTTTACAAAGAAAACTATTCATCTTTCGTCACTGTATTGCTTTCCAGGAGACTCAGCATATTCTAGATATATTTTCCATCTTTAAAGTATATTGTTATGACCTTTGACTTTATAGTACTTTTGCATGTTGGATGCATTCCTTTTACAAATCAAAGAAAAAAAGAGTGGCTTACTTCTGCATGTCTTCCTGTTCTCTTCCAGTATGTATCCCTCATGGCATTTGCAGATGTATGAATTATTGTTATTCATGCAAATATGTTCACAGCCATGCATGACAGACTTGCAAGGGTCTTTACCTGAAAAAAGATTAAAATTCATCATTAGAGTATATGAAAATGTATTTAAGTATAACGATTACAAAGCAGTCAGGTGTTTCACAGCATTTAACCTAGCAGCCAGTGCCTGCTGGTTGAGGGAAAGCATCTATCTGAATACCTGTCTAAAGCTTTGCTAATCTTCCTAACTCTATCCAGCTTTCCAGCTAACCAACAGAATTCACTCCTTGCCCTAAACCAGAGATAGGGAAACTATGGTTTTCAACCTTATCTCCTTCTTTAAACCATGGCTTTATATCCTGGAAGAGCAACAAGGAGAAAGGAAAGATGCTGCAGTATTTCTCAATGCTTCTGACATGCTCTTGAAATGTTGCTTGTGCTTTCGATGGGAAGAGAATTAGAGAAATTGCTACGCTCAAGTGTTTGCCTTTACTTGAGGGCCTCCAGTAGTGCTTGTTATACTTTTGCCTTTAAAGGAATTGGAGAATTACTGACAAGTCCCTAGTGGTGGTACTATCTATATTCTGTATGAATCTTCTGAATTTATTTCTTTTCTGTTGATCTACTGAATAACATTAACAGAAAAAATAGAGATGAACTGGGAACAGTTCAGAGAAGGAATTCTGTTTGAAACTCAGAAGTGGATAATTCATTTCCAAACTCCTTCTGGTATACACTGGAGGAGTGGGAAAGGGGAAATGCTTGAGCTTGAAGCATAGGTGGTCTTGTTTACATCATATGAAATTGCAGATTAGCATTCTTTCTGAGCCAGGCCTGTACTTGTACACGCAAAAACAATCTTACAAATAAACAGATAGACAATTAAATTGATTTGGGACAGGGAATTCAATTTACTTACTTCTACATGTTTTCCCATCTTCCATTAATATAAATCCCTCATGGCATTGGCAGGTATATGAATCATCATGATTAACACAGACATGTTCACATCCATGGTCAATGAACTTGCAGACATCTTGATCTGAGAATAGTTAAGGGAAGTTTCCAGTTAAAACTTCTCCAGATGCAAGACATAAGAACAAGAATGATAACGATTAATCTGGTTACTTCTGCATGTCTTTCCATGATTCCTTGTTTGTGCTTTTGCTGGTAAGGAAACTGGATGATCACTACACTCAAATGTGTCTATGTCTCTCTGACAATTCCCCTTTGAATGGAGGGAAGTTTAAAACTGATCTTGAAATGAAGTTGCTTGTGCTTTTGATGGTAAGGGTGTTAGATAGATTGCTGAGAAAAACCCTGTTCAGTGGAAGGTAGAGGAGGTTAGAAAGGATATGGTATTATGTTCAGTACTTATGGATGATTTTCATTCCCCCATGAATCTACCGAAGAACATTAACAATGAAAACAGAGATGAAAGTTAACTGATCATAGAAGAAATTCTGCTTGAAATTCAGAAGTGTATGTACCAGTCCCAGTCACACTCCCTGAAGCATAATGGATGAGGTGTTAAAGGGGAGCACTTCAGCCTGAGGCTTGAGCAGGTGCATTTACTTAGCACTTAGTTAATTAGCATTACTTCTTAGCCAGATATGAATTTCTACAAGTTAAAATAGTCTAAATAAACAGATACAGAATTGAATTGACTGAGTGGCACAAATCAAATCACTTACTTCTGCAGGTCTTCCCATCATCCCTTAATATAAATCCTCCATGGCATTTGCAAGTGTATGAATCATCATTATTAACACAGATATGTTCACATCCATGCTCAATGGAATTGCAGATATCTTGATCTGAGAACAGGTAAGGGAGTTTATTTATTTATTTATTTGGGTATTTTTATCCTGTCCAATTACGTTGTGCATCTCTGGATGACGTGAGTGGAGCCGGCTGGTGCCGGAGGTCTGACCAGATGGTCCGGAAAGCCCCTTCTGACTCACTCTGTTTCTATGTTTCTATGACTTACAAACCAAACACAAAAAAACCTTTTCTATGCATGCAACACATTAAAGCATGCACTACCTTCTGATAAAAGATCAAACCACTTACTTCTGCAGGTCTTCCCATCATCCCTTAATATAAATCCCTCATGGCACTTGCAGATATAGGAGTAATCACTGTTGATGCACAAGTGCTCACAGCCATGATCAACTGATTTGCAGAGGTCTTTATCTGAGGATATTTTAATTAATTCATACGCTTTGCTATAATAAAACTAATGCAAAGAAAGACTAATACTGCAAAGAGTAAACACAATTAAATCAACATCTGACTTTCATGTAACTGTCAAGATAAATAGCAGAGCATTCTTCAATGTCAGTTCTGTAGGGTTTTAATCTCTTATTAGCATGAGTAACATATTCACAGGCAATTGACTCAACATTTTTGTCACTGCAAATTTGAAATATGGTCAGTTGGTGGGCTACCAGTTGGCAGAATAAAGCCAGAAAGCTAGTTCCCTTGCACCTTCCTAGTTGACTAATATCAAGAAGGCTCAGAAGCTGCAAGCATCCTCATAAGTAGCATGCACTTCCTCATCCAGAGGTTGTCAGTCTTTTTGAAACTGGCAATGATCAGTGGGTCCAAAGCCACTTCCCATGTGCAAGCTGGTTGCTATAGACTGGAATCATGCGAGGAAGGAAAGGAAATGACAATTACTATATCTCCCCACACCTGGATACCCATGCCTTTGCCATGGAATGCAGCTAAATAATCTTACACTCTTCACTCGTCCTTTACCTACCAACCACACCCCTTAGCTGAGTAGACAAAGATGAGCTAAAGTATACCACACACCTGAGCTGCAGTGAGGGAAGTGCTGAAATACCACTCCCAGTCTCTGAAACCACAGCCTTTAGAATCAACAGGCCATTTAAGGAATTCTTGCTTACTTCTGCAGGTTTTCCCATCTTCCCTCAGTATGAATCCCTCAGGGCACTCGCAGATATAGGAATGGCCATCACTGACACAAAGGTGCTCACATCCATGGTTCACTGATTTACAGACATCTCTACCTGAAAAGTCCCAAAATATTTTGTTTTGTAACATGCATTTATAACACATGAACAATATTTTAAAAGAGCAATGTAAAGACCGAAAAATTCACTGCTCAATTCACTGTTTCTTCCTCAAGATTTTTCATGATTGCAAATTGCCAACTGGGTGGTATATCAGTTTAGTAAATAAATAAATCTTAAGTTTGATTCAGGATCCACATTACCATGTATCATCCTACTTCACAAGAGTGCTTGGGGATAGTAGAGTGAACAATTTATTTATTAAATTTATATGACATACCAAATAGCCTCACATGGGACTCCCTGGGTGTAGAGTCAAATATTTACATTTAGTCAAGTATGAAAGCGTTTCTCTCCCATAGGGAATTTAATTTATAGTAGTAGCTACATTACTATCTACAGCTTATAATACTGATCTAGAGTATATAATGCACATTTAAGGATTAATGCCTATGGAAACAAATTAACTTGGTTGGAAAAAATCAAATTTACGTTTACAGCTTTTCCCATCACTGTGCAGCACGTATCCTTCAAAGCACTGGCAGATGTAGGATTTTTCACTATTCACACACAAATGTTCACAGCCATGGTCACTCAGCAAACAATAGTCCACTCCTAAGGGTGTAAGATTGTAAATATTATTTATTTTTTATACCATTAACTCTGCATATGCCGTTCAATGTAGAATAGGACAGTGATGGTGAACCTTTTAGAGACCGAGTGCCTAAACTGCAACCCAAAACCCACTGATTTATTGCAAAGTGCCAAAACTGCAATAAAACCTGAAAACTGAGGTTTTAGTTTAGAAAACAAATTCACAGCCAGTTCAAGCAAATATATATATATCCTTCACAGAGCACTGACTGGCCATGCGAAAGCTCAGACGAGTTACAACTAATGAGTCGCGGCACATGACATCATTGCCTGGTGCCACTACTCCTTTCCAAGCATGCGCATGATCCCTATGTGCGCTGTTATCTGAAGCTTGGCTGCCAGGGCAATGCTGGGGCGACTTGGCTCGCATGCTGATAGAGCGGGCTGTGTGTGCCCACTGTGGCACATGTGCAATAGGTTTGCCACCACTGGCCTAACCCTACCCAGTTCCATTGAAAGGGGCAATTTTGAAAAAGCCTTCCTTGAGTAGCTTTTTCTGCACAGCTCATCATTTCTGCCCATTCTAAACATTCCAACCATCAAAATCATGCCAGGATACCTCTTTTTTCTAACCCTAACCTTACCCTGGTGCACACCCCTAACCCTAAGATAGGGCTAAAGTTCCATTAAAAAGAGGGCAATTTTGAAAAAGCCTTCCTTGAGTAGCTTTTCCTGCACAGCTCATCGTTTCTTCCTATTCTAAACATATTCCAAACATCAAAATCATACCAGGACACCTTGTTTTTCTAACTCTAATCTAGTGATGGCGAACCTTTTAAAGACCTAGTGCCCAAACTGCAACCCAAAACCCACTTATTTATTGCAAAGTGCCAACACTGCAGTAAAACCTGAAAACAGCCAGTCCAAGCACATATATATTTATTCTTGGCAGTGCACTGACCAGCCATGCAAAAGCTCGGATGAGTCGCGGCTAATGTGTCACGGCTTGTGACATTATTGCCTGGCACCACTTCTCCTTTCTGAGTATGCACATGGCCCCTATGTGCACTGTTATCCAATGCGCGGCTGCTGGGGCGACTTGGCTTGTGTGCTGACAGAGAGGGCTCTGCGTGCCCGCTGTACCACGCAGGCCATAGGTTCGCCACCACTGGAATAGGAAGATAGAGCTCTACCCAACAGGATGTACTATCTTACAAGTAAGCAACAAAAGAAGAGAAGGGAAATGAAAGGGGTGGTTCTAGAAGCCCTAGAAGACAAGGAAGGCTTCTAGAGATTTAGCCTTTGCAATACAGAATGTAACTAAAGTGGAAAGAAAAACAATGGCTGGGTTTACACTTTTTTTTTACCATTGTTGGTCCTGTACAGAGGGGGCACAGTCCTTTCAAGTTATAATCTCCTCAGATTCATCAAGATGACCTTATAGTTTCTAGGTTGTCAAGTTAAGATACTCAGACTATAAGTTTTGAGTATCTATAAGTTTTCTAAGGTGGGCTGGTTTAAAAGTTTTTAAACCAGCCCACCTTAGAAAAGGAGAGGAGACATTTCAGAACTGGGTGGGGATGAGATGGAGGAGGAGTTCTTTGACCCTGTAAGGAGAAAACAGGCAAAGTGAGTGGACCACTTAAAAAGTGTCCATAATTCCTGCCATCTAGTCCTCAGCCAGTAAGAGCCACCCTGAGTTTGGTGTCAGACTCTTTCTGAAAGGGAGAGAAGGAGATGATATTTCAGTTTGGATTCAGTTTTTCATATGGGCAGATGCTTCTCCCAAACCTCAAAGGGAACACTACTTTGATTTATGATTTTTTAAAGCTGAAACTTAATCCAAACAGAAATGAAGTAATGTTAGTAGGTGGGTTGTCTGACTCATTTGCTTTGTCATTTGTTTCTGGATAAAGTTGTCCTCTCCTTAAATGATCATAAGGAGATCATTTAAGCATTCTGTGTGACCCAGGACTCACATTGGATACACAGATGACAGCAGTAAAAAAGGACACCTATTTCTAGTTTCAGGTGGTATGCCACCCACAACTCTTTTTCCTAATGTTAGATCTTGCCATAATCATTTATGCCCTTATTACGTCCAGACTGGAACTGTCCTTGCAAATTGTCCTTGGAAGCTGCAAATTGTGTAAAATTCTGCGGCCAGGATGCCCCTTTTTATTTTTGTTTGTTTTAAATTTCCATTCAGCTTTCACTCACAAAAATTGGTTCTAACATACTAAAATAAACTATACCAAGGTTAAAAAATATTAATTATAAGCATGGTAAGGCACTGTTCCATAAAATGTAGAGGATGAGACGAATCTCATCAAGCAGTTAAACCCAGACAAACAAAATATACAATCTGGACATTTTTTTTAAGACTAGGCAACTAAAAAGCCTCTCTGAAGCCCTTAATGGTGTCAAGTTCAGAGTGAATTTGAGTGAATTTATCCTCAAAGCCTCCAAAGTTTCCAACACATTCTATTTTATTTGATTTGTCTTGGCTACAAGTTTGTTTCCAAGATTGATTGAAAGTGCTGGTATGAAGAAATGATAAGGAGAGAAAGTTATTTAGTTCCTATTTTAAAGTACATTTATTAAATCTGCACCATCCAATCCTGAACACAAACTGGAATACAGTTAAACACAGATAGCCATATTTTCTGAAATTTGTGATTAAAGTTCATACAAAGTGTGCATAAAAAATAAAAAGAACCAGCAGCCATGGCATATATTAGAGAACTCTAGCACATGAATGATTTAACTTAGAAAAAGATTTGAAAAGTGAATGTGTAATTTGAAAAATATAAAGAAAATGCATATGCTTTGAGAACATGGAGAAAACTTTCATGGGGAATTGGAAAAATATTCACAAGCTTCAGGAGGAGAAGGGATAGGGCAATACTGAAGACTGAGGTTGTACTTGGACTTTTGGAGGGCCATTATATGCAAACCAGTCTTTCATGTCAATTAAATGATAGCACCTAGGTGATTTTTAGGAACTCAACAGGAAACACAAAAAGAAGAGATCCCATTTCTAGATGAAGTGGGGCAAGTAAAAAGAGGAATAACCATAAGATTAAGTTTAACATACAGAAATAAAATATCCAGCAATAAACATATAAATTTAGAAGTCTGCCTGGAAATATCAATTGCTGCCTGGAGGAAAATCAAACATTAAGAAGAGTAAACATTTTTCCTATTATCCACAAAGGAACTTTTCCATTGGTAGATTGATAAAAACCAGTTTTGGTTATCAATCAAATATAATGCATGTGTAACACTGGATGCAAAATCCTACTTATCTTTCAAGCGCACTGTTGGTTTCGGGCCAGTTTCTTCCATTGGTAGATCGTTAAAACTATTTTTGGTTAACATAGTTTCAAACAGACAATGTGCATGTAATACTGGGTACAAATTCCTACTTTTCAAGCTCACTGCTGGTTTTGGGCCTCAGAGGTTGTTGTTGGTGTCAAATGACAGGAAACCCCATAAATCTTGCTAAAGAAAAGTGGGATGCGAATGTATTATCCAATGAAGCTTTGCAGAGCTCAGACAGACAACAAAGAAATAGAGGACAGAGTAGAGTATTTCTATAAAATAGAACCTCATACATGTACTATGTTTCTAGGTCTATGATGTAAAACAAAATGAGGTGGCATGGCAGGTTATTACTTTAGACTACAGCAAGGGATATGAGTTTTGAATGCTGCAGCAAGTAAAAATCTTGTAAAAAATAGTAGGGAAAAAGCTTCAAGTGCAGCATATTTTCTACTGTTCTAGTTCTCTATTCTTAATATTTGGGAGCAACATTCTGCAGTTTGCAGTACAGGTCCTCCTACCACTTCATTAGGTAGCAAGCGTTCTAGAATTGCATTTGCCAACCAGTTGTTTCAAGTTGGGTTTAAGACTTATACTGATAATGCTAGAAGATTCTTTCTACGGCTGAAAATCAGGAAAGTAACAGAAAATACCACTTTCGTTTTTAAGGCTAACCTATCCTTTGGAACTATGAAACCTGGTTTCTGGTTGTTTATACCTCATTTCCAACTGACTGTTTTAGCTATGGATATGAAAGAGTAACTATTATATTTCTGGGCTTTTCTCCAATTTCAAGCAACATCCTGTTTTCTCTGGTTAATTCTATGCAGTGCCTGAATCAAGAGACTTACGTGAACATGTCTTCAGATCTTCATTAATTATGAATCCTTCAGAACACTGACAAATGAAAGACTCCCTGGTATTCAGGCATAGTTGCTCACACCCGTGGTTGGACTCAGCACAGTGGTCTATTCCTGAACAATAATATGTTAGTTAATGGACGAGAAAGTAATGCAATTGTTAGCAATAACAGCCAGCTATTAAAAAGCCAGTAAAAGCAATCAGCAATTACTGTTGTGAGTGGTCACTTCATCTTAAACTTTACATAAAATTGGCAGACTGTATCTTGTGCATTTTACTGCCATTTGGCCCAATTTTAAACAAATCACCCCAAAGTAATCTCAATAGCAGAGACCACAGCATACTGGTCCAAAAGAAATTAGTTAAGGCTTGAAGCCTGGATTCTATCTTACGAGACGGGGTAACTGAGAGGTCCAGCTGATACATGTGTTTATATGTGTGCTGATATGTGTGTACATTTCTCTATACTCTGGCTCATCTAGCACAGAGCAAAATGCTTTGCTTGGGAGGGAAAAAGCCTGATACGGGGGAAAGAAGAGAAAGGGAAAAATAGCCTTTCCAAACAAGCTGTTCTATTATACTTTTGCTAGTTAACATCCTTTATTATTTTAATGCTGTACTCATGGAGCCATTTATGATTGTCAAACAGCCTCTAGTTTGTTTCTTCAGGAACAGAGTATTTCATGAGTTCATACTCCATACATACAATCCTTCTGTGATTTCTGTGCATGTTTGCTTGCGCGAATCATTTTTGAGGCCAAACCAAATGGTACATCAGGGGTTCCATGACTGGATTTCCTGCATAATTTTAATCACAAAGCAACTTAGAGAAGGTGATTTTGGTTGGGGCTACAGTGCTGGATAGAGTGTCCATTTGTTTTTTAAACAAATGCTTTTGCTGCACCATTTTCCCCAACTGAATGTACTCTTACGAGTTGCTATTTGCTGCAGATAAAAAACCTACAGCTACCATAGAGGTTCTTATAAACTGTGTCACACCAAACATTGCTTAAATTACAAAAGAGGGCACTTCTTCAGAAACAGGGAAAATAAGTGCCTGCTGAATTAGGTTATTGGGTTTCGTGAGATATACAAGGCAAAAGCAGGTAACATAACAATGGCAGTGTTTGCCAGATACAACTGGTTTTCACAATTACCCTGGCAAGTACTGATCCATGCATCTTCATATACATATGAATTTTGCATATTCAAGCTGCAATTTGAATGGCTTGCAGTGTTAATGAACCAGGTAAGAGTGGGTTGTTGTCAAACTGCTCACAATGCTAAAGCAGCCCATGGTTTGTGGGTGGTTTCTTATCCATACTACCAACCCACCATCACCATGTTTACACACCAGGCCATGTTTGCAGCTTGAGTATGAAAAATGGCTGCCAGTCCAAGCCATGGAGGCCAATTCCCATGACTTAACTTGATGTGTAAGCTGTTTTGCTACCCTGGCCACAAAAATGAGCTGTCCATTAAGCAACCCCAATTTTATAGTATCTTCATAACAGAAGTAAATAATTTTATATCTGAATAACAAGAAAAAACAATACATGGAAGGAGAGAGAGAGAAGAGATAGCACTCTGACTTATTAATCTTTACTCTGCAATGTATTACAAATGCAACTAAAAATCTCTGCAAACTATGTCTCTTTTTGAGATAACTCTTCTCCACAACACTCTAATGTTGGTTCTGGCTTAATAATGCATAGCCATTTTTAGGAATATTTCCAAATTTAACATCCTACACAGTCAAGTATTGTTGGCTGATATTTTTGTTCACTGTAGTAAATACCACTTAGCTTAGTCCCTCTTTTCCCATGAGTTCACTCATAAACAGACATAAAAGGCAATTATACAAGGGAAAATGTGAAAACCCACACTACAATAAACAATCCACTAGTGGTGATGATCATGCACTGATTATTGCTAAAGTTTTAAAAACAGAGGTACCAGTAAAGTGTTCTGTACCAGTCTGAGTAACGAAGGGCAGTATCCAACAGGACCATTGTGGAATAGGCCTCTCCTGCTGATTACATTGCACAAGGAGGGTCCAGTGCCTGACCAGCAAAGATTTAATGCTTCTTACAGGCACCCTGAAATGAGCACAGACAGTTGTTTTTGGAATGGAAAAGGTGGCCAGAGCTCACTTATGCAAGCTCCATGGCCATGCCCCATTCCAGAAACGAGAAAGCCTCCCTTGTTTTGACACCTTAATGTGCATATTTAAAAATAGCTAGTAGAAAAAGATAAAAGGCAGAAGGCAGAAACCAATACTGCTATGGTACTCCTGCTCAATTTATTATGTAAGTAAAATGCATTGGTCAAGCAACAGAAAGCTAGTGCTTCTAAAAGCAATCCTGGAACAAGCAGAAATGCTTGCTTCTGGATCAGGATCACTCATCAGATTTTTTTTTTTTGCAAGCGCTATGGAACTGGGCCATTTTGGAAATGAGTGTTTCTGTGTGTTTCCAGCTGCTCCTGAACTGCCAGTTTATCCTTGCGCTAACGACGGGTCCCCCTAGTGAGTATGAAGGACTGGATATTAATTCAACTATTTTTTCAAAAGTTATTTGTGATGTCTGGATTCTTGGATATCTTACAGTTATGTCAGTATAATCCTAAAAGAAGCTGAAAGGAAAACTCAAAAGGGTAAAATCTGTAGGGAATTACTCAAAACTGCAATAATAGAAACAGAGCTATAATGTATACTGCAAATCAGGAAAGGTAGCACAAAGTTAAAGAGTTCACCAGTGTTAACAACCAGGTTCAAGAAACTTAGCAGGGTAAAGTCTTACCCAGGTGAGGTGAACAAAAAGGAACATAAACTTCCACCATGGAAAAGCAAGCAGAAGTGAAGGATGCCAAAAAGGATTTTGAGGAGCATATTGCTAAAAATAATAAGGCAAATGTAATGAACTTAAGAAAGGGAAAGAGGTGACCTGGCTTTCTGCCCATCCTTTCTGTTTAAAATCAAGTACAGTCGAGGCAAGTAAAGATGAAACTGGAAAAGCAGAAAAGTCCAAACAGCCTGAAGGAAAGTTACAGCTTTATAAACACCAGAGGACTTGGAAGAAGAGAGAGAAAAAGATGATCGATAACATGAAGGTATATGGAAGGGAACTATCAAAGGAATGATTGCACTCCCAGTAATAATTAACTTTTGTAGGAAGAAGGTATTGGCCATCCTCAACCCCTTCCTATGTCTAAGGATTGAGACCTGAAGTAGTCCAAGTGCTGTCACCTTGAAGGGATCCTCACAGCCTACACTCTTTGAGTATATATTTTGAGTACATGTTAGAGAGACACTTAGCCCATTGCATGACAAAGTTAAAGGAGTACTAAATCAATGCAATAAGGAGAGAGTACAGAAAATGAATGCATTATTTTCATCTGTCTTCACTGAAGATATAGGGCAGGTATCCATTTTCAGTAAGGGAGTCTGAGGGACAAAACCAATAGTGGTAACAAAAGATGACGTTCTAGACCTTACTGACAAATTGAAACAAAAAAAGACCATATCCAGGTGGTGCCCATTTTTAAACAATTACAATGTGAAACTGCTAATTTTCTAACAAAAACATAGAACTTGCCCCTAAGAGGGACCTCACTAGCATAGAGCTGGAGATTGCCATGTGTATCATCAGTTTTTAAAAAGCGAGCATTTCCAGAATGTGTAATCCAACCACATTAGGGCATTATAAAAATCATGTTTACAAATCAAGAAATATTTATGTGACTATCTAAAGAATAAATATTTAAATAATAAATAGTTATGTGAATATCTGGAGAAATTCACTATTATCAATGGAAACATAGTTTAATATATATGGAGTTTAATATATATGGAGTTGCAAACATGGTTCAATACCTTTTTTTAATTCAGAGTTGCCTAAAAGGAATTGGATAGACACAGAAATAACAAACAAAACCGAAAAGTATGTTCCCATTGTTTTGGTTAGTAGATACAGTTTCGATAAGTACCTCAACTAAGCCCAGCAACAAGGTGTTCTTTTTAGAGTTTTGTAGCAAGTGTGTTATCTTTTGGGGGGAAATCATTTTAATCACTTGCTAGCATTACCTCAGTTAGTACTGACATTTGCTGCAATTGCAAAAGCACATATCTATAAACTAGGAGGAGCACATATTTATTAATTTGTTTAGAACTCTGTTGATTCCAGAATGCAGTCCAGTATACCAATTAACTCCTCCCAAATGTCTGATGTACTCACTTCTGCATGTTTTGCGGTCACTGTTCAGGGCGTATCCAGTTTGACATCTGCACACATAAGAGTCTTTGGTATTAACACATTCATGTTCACAGCCATGTTTTCTCAAAGCACAGACATTTATTCCTATGGAAAGAGATGACATGCATGTTAGCTAACAATGATGGAAAGTCCAGGACAGTTTAAAATAATTATTAAAAACTCACTTTCAGTCTGTTCCCAGCCACCAAAAGCAAAATAAAAAGTGACTTCTACTGGTAGCTGTACAAAGGGGAGTGTCAAGAGGAAAGGGGATTTGAAACTGTCAACTGTATACTAACATTCTGCTGCTTAGACTGTTTGTATACTACAAATCTGGCACTTCCGTGGTAATTAAAGTTTATGGCTGAACTTAGCAGGCCTGGCACTACTACCCAGCATACTTAGGCAGGTGTGGCTGCTCACTCTTGATGGTGATACCTGTTGAGCCACCACCACCTGTGGGATGTCTAGTCTCAGGTGCTTTGTACCTGCAGCTGCAGACACCACCTAAATTTTCCCAAAATGCAACATCTAGAAAGACATTATAGGTAAAGAAAAGCATGGCATTTGCCACAAAAGCTCAGTAGCCACAAGAGAGGTCTTTCATATTTTGTAGAAGACGGCATTTGCTTTACTCACAATTCACTGGAAGAACAGAATTTCTGAGACAGTGCATTAATTGGAAAATTAAGATGGGTACTGCAGATTTGGCAGTCAGAAGCCCACTGGACTGCACTTTGCTGAAGGATCACTCAAACCTGAAACCAACTCTGAATCTTAGAGTAGAAATTATCATGTTAAAATTTTTAGTTTGTTTGTGCATATTGTTCAGTCTATTTGTATTTTCAATGTTGCTCTCCAGTGTGTGGGTCTGATCATTTGTGGAAAATGCTTTTGGCCTGAACCAACTATTGTATGTTAATAATATGTAATGTATTATGCTAAATCTACCACTCCAACCATTCAAGCCTTGGCCACCAAAAGCCACTGCAAGTTTTGAAAGGTGCTTAGATTTCAGTGTAGACAAAACTCCAAGAGAATGACATTTTACAGGCAACCAACTAGGATGCCTATTAGTTATTATATTAATATCTTTACATAAGGCATCTTACATAATTCTTCTCTACCTCTAAATCTTATCTTCAGAACAATCTTACCTGTAAGGCGGGTTGGTCTGAGAGTCTGGACTGGCTCAAAGTCACTCAGTTAGCTCCGAGGCTGAGTGGGGACTAGAACCCAGATCTCCTAGGCCAAGTCCAGCAGTCTTAACCATTACGCACTGGCCTTTTTACATACTTGTGCTACACAGAGATGGTATTTGCGTGTGCATGGGGGCAGTAGGTTTAGAGAATACAATGAGGAGGTGGGGAGGTAGTGGCTTCTGATGCATGTTCAGAAGTTAGAAATGAAAATGAAATAGATCAGCATTCTTGAAAAAAACGCTGTGACAGTGATGTTGCAAAGTAAAAGCAGATGAACTTACTGTACACTTTAGGACAACATACTTTTGCAAGTTCTCTTATCTGGATTAAGAGTAAATCCTTGCTGGCACCGGCAGAAATAGGATTCATCTGTATTGACACACTCCTGCTGACAGCCATGATTTTGCAAAGCACAGTAGTCTGGTCCTAAACATCAGGAAAACATTTTTAAAAGGATAATGTGGAAAGTACAAAAAGTGAACAGACTGTTATCAAAGCAAGTGCCTTAGTCTCATCTTCCATCCTTGGAGTTTTGTCTGAAAACATGTTGTTTTCATAAATATAGTAATGCAGAATATTTTGGATCACTTTAAGTACAAGAAGAGATTATTTTAATAAGATTTTTTGTAAGATCAGTAGTGTGAACAGGAGCATGTTAATACATTCAGGAGTGCTGTTGGCAGCTGCCTCAATAGCCCTAATAGAGTTGCCAAATACTTTCCTTTTGACAGGGAGACTGGATGATTGCTCTCTATAGCTGGCCTTCTGAATGGCTAAAAAATTACTGAAAGCAGGACTTCTTTCTTGACAACTCAGCTAAGGCTGATATGATCTAAGCGCTCAGACGTACTGCAGTCTGAGATTGACAAAGAGAGTGGAGTTTGGGCTCTGTAAGCATCTTAGGATGCTGGCTGTCTCCCTGAAGAATTGAACTGGGAACTCTCTGTTGGAGTATTTGTTTCCATCTATCCTCAGCTTTAATAAAGGCGAAATAGACTTACGTATTTTAAAAGATCTATGAGTCTCCAGTGACCTCCTTCAAAAGGAAACAATGCTTGAGCAATCATTTTCATCACGATATAAAATGTGCCTCATATATGTCCTACTGCCTACAGAAGCCCTTCCTTTACTGCCATAAGAACATAGAAAAACCATGCTGGATCAGACCAATGGTCCATTTAGTCCAGCACTGCACACACATGTTGACAAACCAGCTGCTCACAAGATCCCTCAAGCAGGATGGGTGCAAGATTTTTGCCTGCCCAAGCTCCTCAGCAACTGCTGTACACAGGCATATCACCTCTGGCAAAGGAGGTAGCACATAGTCAGCAGGGCTAGTAGCCACTGACAGGCCTCCTGCCTCATGAATTGGGTGGTATGAAAATGTAATAAATAAATAAATGATCTCTCTTTTAAAACTCATCCAGATTGGCAGCCATCACCACTTTCTGTAGAAGTGAATTCTATAGTTTAACTATATTCCAGATGAAGAAGTACTTCCTTTTATCTGTCCTAAACCTTCCACCAATCAGGTTCATGGAATGAACCAGGTTTGGGTGCTTTAAGAGAGAAAGAAAAATGCTTCCTTCTCTACTTTGTTCATTATTTTAAACATCTCCATCACGTCTCCCTTTACTCGACTTTCTTCTAAGCTGAACAGTCCCAGTTGCAGCCACTCCTCGTAAGGGAGCTGCTTCAGCCTCCTGATCGTTTTTGTTGTCCTTCACTGTGCTTTTCCAACTCAATAATGTCCTTTTTCAGGTAAGTCAACCAGAACTGAACACAGTATTTCAAGTGTGGTCACACCAAAGATTTGTAGAGTGGAAGTAAGACACTGGCAGTTCTGTTTTCTGTTCTGTTCCTAATTATGCCTAGTATGGAAATTGCCTTCTTTTCAGCAGCTGTACACTGGGCCGACATTTCCATTGAACTGTTCACTAGTACCCCAAGATCCCTTTCTTGTTCAGTCACTGCTAGATCAGATCTCATCGGCGTTCACTTGAAGCTGGGATTTTTTGCCCCAACATGCATAACTCTGCACTTGCTTATATTGAACAGCATTTGCCATTTTGATTCTCATTCTCTCAGTTTGGAGAGATCTGTTTGGAGCTCCTCACAATCCCCCTTTTTAAACCACCCTAAAAAGTTTAGTGTCATCAGCAAACATGGCCACTTCACTACTTACTCCTAATTCCAGATTGTTTATGAATAGGTTGAAAGTGTTGGTCCTAATACAGAGCCCTGTGGGACTCTTCTGATTACAGAGCTACATTGGGAGAAGTTGTCATTTATTCCCACCCACTGTTTTCTGTTCATTAACCAGTTAGTCAATTATAAGAGGGCCTGCCCTTTTACTCCATGAGACTGCCCTTTTATTCTTCAGTTTCCTTGTTGGATCTTTCCTTCTATGTTCTAATTCCTCTATTATTCTGGTTCCTTTTTGTAGGCTACATAGAAACAAAGCGAGTCAGAAGGGGCCAGCCAGACCATCTAGTCTGACCCCCGGCTCCAGCCGGCTCCGCTCACGACATGCCCACCATATGCATGTCCAGCCTATCATTGAACACCCTCACCGATGGGGCCTCAACGACCTCTTATGGAAGTCCATTCCATACCCTCAGGGTCCTGACGGTCAGGAAGTGCTTCCTGGCATCTAAAAGGAACCTTGGTTCCCTGAGCTTTGCTCCATTGGAGCGCATCCGGCCTTCCTCTGCAAGGGAGAACAGGTCTCTACCCACCTCCGTGTGACATCCCCTCACATACCTGTAGGTCGCCAACAGATCCCCTCTGAGTCTCCTCTTCTCCAAGCTGAAGAGACCCAGTTCCCTCAGTCTTGCCTCATACCTAAGTCTAGAATTTAAATATCCTTTTCTTTAATTTAAGAACAAGTGGTCACTGCAGCTAAAGGCACTGATTTTTTAAAGGCACGTGGAGCATAGCAGCTTCTTTTACTAAAGCATCTTTTGAGGAAGCAGTCTTGGTGCCTTTTCAGGAGTGCCCTTGTGTGTGTTTCCAGCATGGGTTCCCCCCCTCCCCCCCAAGGCCTGGCTTTTGAAGTGGCTTCCTCTGTGAAGTCAGATATGCAGTCTTGTGGGGGAGGGAAGAATGGATGCTTAGAAGAATCATGGTGGGCACAGAGGGAGTGACAGAAGATCTTAAGCTCTCCTGGTTCCTCACCTCCCACTCCAGGAAGGGCACAGAATGGCTGTCTCAGAGATCTTATGTGGTCCCTTCTGTCTGAGATCCACTGCCCTGGAGATGCCAGAATTTTAACTTGGGACCCTCTGCATGTGCAGGAGAATATATTCTGTCACTGAGCTATGGCCCCTTGTTTTACACTCACAGGAAAATGTGCAACTGCCATATAAATTCTGAAAGTACAGAATATTAATATGGATAACTTACTTCTGCAGGTTTTTTTATCTGGATTGAGAATGAACCCTTTGTGGCACTGACAGTAATAGGAATCTTCAGTATTAACACACTCATGTTGACAGCCTTGGTTATTCAAAGTACAGTAATCCACAACTAAAAAACAAACAAGCACAAATTTTAAAATAAACTTGCTTGGGTGTAAAATTCTACAACTGAATGCACAGAACGCTAGTAATACTGAAGGCCTCAGACAAAGGGGTTTTTTTCTTTTTCTTTTACAGTTGAGTTTGATTGGGATAGCAGTACCACATTCAAAAAGCATAGTGCCTGGTTAAAACTGACCTTTCCATCCACATTATTGCTATAATCCTGTTGGAGCAGCTGACATGGACTTCATTCTAAGGGTTATTCAGGTAGTTGTTTCCCATATCTCAGATTCAGCACTGTAGCACACACATTTGGGAAGGCAGGAAGTGCCCTGGGGAAAGGGAAGAACTTCCCTGAAGAAGTCATACTCAGAAACTAACAGCATGACTCACACATTACATACTTACCCTGTGCAAGTCCCTATCAACTTTGGACTGGTAAAAGGAAAATTGAAACACTCTACACATCTGGACTGCAGAAGTTAGGAAATGGAAATAATAGACCCATTCCTTGGAATGAGTTCTTAGGTCAGATAGAACACATGACTGTGTATGTGGTACCATATTCTATCTCACATAAAGCAGATCCCATGTAACAGAACTTTGAACACTAGTGCAATCAACAAGTTGCTTTACTTCTTCACTGTTACAGTGCAACAAAATAAACTTGACTCTGATTTCTAGGATGAAACATTATCATTTACTTTGTCCATGTACAATTCAGTGAACAATCTACTGTTTTGAAGAAATCTAGGATATTAAGTTAAAATATGCCAGATATTACAGTATTCTGCACCTGGTTCCATTGCTAAGCAGTGATTCAGTTAGGATTAGTATGCTATCTCATCATAAAACAATGTAAGTTTAGGTCCATCACCCAAAATGGCATTCTTGTATTATGTTTTTATTGTTTCTCATGAAATGTTGCGGGATGGTTGTATCATTCCACTGTGCATTATTCCTTCGCAACAGAAGTAGCCAATGATGCAAAGAAATAAACATTTGGAAACTTTTCAATGTTCTGAAAAAGGATTCAGCCTCAGTACTTGTTGCAATATAAAACTTGTATAATATGGCTGTATGGTTCTTTCTCTAAGAAGCTGAAAAGGGAATAGAAGCATTTTTGTCCATATTTTATTCTTACATCAAAGAACAAACTTGAGAACAAAGTTTGACTGAGACTGAGCAACTAGTGCCAACCAGTGATTTAAAAGCAGAACAGGGATTTAAACTTTGGTCTTTCCAGTCTAAATCCAGACCTCTCAGGGATGCAAAAAGTACAGCTCCCCATGAGCATGTCTGGCAGACTCCTCCAAACACCCCCCCACACACACACCCCCACAATGGAAATATAGGAACAGGATCTGTAATTCCTGATGACTCTTATTGTTCTTTGTTCACAAGAAGAGAACACTGTTGTTATTCCAGTAATTTATATTTTCTAAATATATACTAAAAGGATTTATTTAAAGGATAGGATACCAACATAAACTAATTTGGAAAAGGTTACGTAAAAGCCATATACTTTTCCATTAAAATTTAAATATGGTCTATCTACCTTTGTCCAAGTTAATTTTCCAAAATTTCTACCATTCAAATGCATATGATGCCTTGCTCCATTGTAAACCTAGGTAAACAGGACTTTTCTTAAATAAATATTTTTCAAAACATGATCATTTGTTTGGATTCTTCTATAAAGTTTGGATAAATGAAGTCAAATTGTATTAATCCAAAATACAGTTAACTATATTTATGGTATTTATACCAGGTTTTATAAAATTATTTTAAAACAAAGGTTACATAAAACAAAGGTTACAAAATTATAAAGTTTTTCAAAAGACCCTCTTGATTAGACCAAAGACCAATTTTTTCCTTTACTTTCTGCTCATGAGAAGAGTATGCCTGTTCATACGAACCCTAGAATGAGGGCTCACAATAGAGTTTTTGTGGGGAACTCCAATGACCCTCATGAAGCCCACCCCTTCAAAAAAGTTTTAATAAAAACTTTGGAAAATGTTAGTTTCTTTCCCTTTCTAGCCTCCAGTTTTGCTCTTTCTCTCCTCTCTTCCCCTTGCTAGCCTCTAGTCTTACTATTTCTCCCCCACTACTTAGCTTACTTTTGACTAGCCAGGTCCCCATGAAAGCCATTATGTTAGCAGTAAGAGTGTTTATATTACATTAGGTCCTCTTGTGCGTCACTTTTTCATCCAGCAGAACATTCCACTCCTACAAGAAATGTTAATGTGTAATGTAATGCAATGTAATGTAAGCTTACAATGTAATGTAATACAATGTAATGTAAGCTAAGGATCTCATCCACAACAAATGTGTAGGCACAGAGACCAAAATGTGATGCATGAAGAAGAACTAGTGAAGTTAGCTTGGCTGTAATCCTTGTATTATTAGCTGACTTACCTTCTTCACAGGAATAGATGTGTCTCCTGAACCACCAGTGTGATGTGATCCTGTGGTAATAAGAAAACCTGCTCCATGTAGATTGTTAACAATGTTTTTTGTTTGTAAACTAACCAGAAAGCCCTATGGGCTATGGGCAGTATACAAATGTAAAAGATAAATAAATGGCTAGAAGTTAAAGGACAACATAAGAAATATCATGTGTCCATGGTGGCCTTAAATGGGCATCTTCAAAAGGAGTATCCACTGTTTAAAGATAACAGCTGATAACAACTCTGTTTAAAGGGAGCCCTGACGGGCTATTCAGCAGCATATGTATTTGAAAAATAAATTAGATAACAAAAGGAAAACAATCTTACAAGGAGTGTGCTGTATCCTACGTAACCCTTTGGATCCCATCTTTCATCAGTGCCATCGTCATCATCATCATCCAAAGTAACCCTTGTATACCATATATTACTACTATCACTATTATCATCATTATCCGTATTATAATAATATAATATTACAAGGAATAATAATTTGAGCAGGTAAGCGATATCCTACCACAGTGGAATCAGCCTCTGCTTTGTATAAGAGCCAGTAAAGGAGATACATACTGTAACATTGCTTCCCATCTTCTTTGAGTTCATAGCCATCATAACATTGGCAGACATAGGATCCAGGTGTATTCACACATATCTGCTCACACTCATGCTTTTTGACCTCACATAGATCCTGGGCTAAAAAATATAGATATAAAAAAGATTGTGTTTTAATTGCATTTAATTTTAGACTTCAGAATTGAAACACAATTTGAGTAAGTAAAAGAGGATATAATGTACATAAATAAAATCTATGATAAGATGAATGTGTGTGTCTGTGTCTTCTAAACAGATTCTGGAAAATTCATGAAATTATCTTTTCCATTTGCTTTTTTATCATCCTGGAACAGGATGAAAACTGTTTTTTCCTAAGTGGGATCTTTATTACAATGTACATGAAACAATTCAGGTAATGAACCTCACATCTAGTTTGTGCTCAGGGCGATTTATATTATAGGACTCAGACGCCTGCCCCCAAAAACAAGTTCAAAGCAAGCGTGAAGGCATCATAAGGCCAATCCATGTACACAGAGGTCTCCCATGCAAGGTGGCAGGTTCTCCTCATGTTGGAGGAGCACTAGAAACATAGAGCAATAAGTGTGTGCACTGCCCTTCTCACATGCTGAACACAGGGGGGCCTAGTGATGTGAATTTTCTGAAAAAGACAGTACTGGAGACCATTCCACAGAATTTTTCACCTATGCTCTATATTAGTTTCCTATACATGTCTTCTATTTTTTCAGGGCAGTTTATACATTTTGTTAAATGTTTCTTCAATTTTGTTGCATTGTTAACATACTCCTGCTCACATTATTTACCATTTATCAATTGCTTTTCTTCCTTCAGTGATTTCACTGTAGATTTCACATAGTAGTCTTCTTTTGTTTTGGCATCATACATAGCTCAAAGTAAACACAAGTACTAGATGACTGACAAATCTTATGCAAACACGTCTAATGTCTCCTGTAGTCCCTTAATTGGATTTGCTAGATGGCCATGACCCCTTTCTCTGGCTCTGCTCCTTTTTCCCAACCAACAATCACTGGATTACTCCATGGCTTTTGTAGATTCCCTCTCCCCATTCTAAAGGTTAACTAAGTCTTAGCTATTGGTCATAAGAGCTTTAAAAAATACGGTAGTAACTTTTTCTAATTTTGGCCTATCTTCTTTATCTATGCCTATCCACTACAGGAAGGCAGTACCTAGAGCTTCCCTGAAATTAAATTCAGCCCTTTAAAAAGATTCCTATCCCTATTTTTAGCTGAATATGCTTTGACTGTCATACTTGTGTTCCATTGCCATATGACCCCAATACTTGCAACATTTTCTATCTTTTATTTTATACCCATATATACTTGCCATTGAAGGCTACCTCTTCCTGCAACCAATGAAGCAGATTTACATCTACGAAAGTTTATGCCTTAATAAATTTGATATTACAGGACTCTGTCATTTTGGTGCAAGAGACAAACATGGCTACTCTCCTGTCAGTTTACTCAGGTTGTTAATCAGGCCCATGAGTCTGGCCTGTGTTCTGTGAGAACTGAAGGTGTACTTTAGAATATGTGCTACTCTCCTAGTTCACACATTATGCTAACCCATGGTTAACTTAATCCACAGCTACTTGAAGTCTGGGTTGTTATGATTGCGCTAAGAAACCATAGGCTGTTAATCACAAATAACCCAGAAAAAGAAACGATGGTTTGTTGTTGGACTATGATCTCTGGTTGGTTTAAATCAGATTGTTGCTACATGTGAACCCAGAACCATGAGTTGTTCCTGGTGGCTTCGCCAAGCTACTGAAGTGGCAGGCAAAAGTGCTAACCAACACCTCCACCAAAACCCCAAGATGTTTCACATTACTAAGGCATTTTGGATGCATTATGTGCAAACCAGTTAATTACATCTGCTATCACAAGTATGCAAAAGTCGCACAACAGGTAAGTCTGTGACAAAATTGTTCTCTGAATGTAGAAGATTTGAAAACTATTAAATTATAAGAGAGGGTGCATATTTTCCCAATACTAATGTATAACCACTCCATAGAGTTGCAGCAGTGTAAAGCTTCTCTTTTCAATCAGAATACGAACTTTTAAGATATAATCTAGGAAACAAGATGCCAGAATGAAAATAAAAGATCTTGTGGGATGGCTTTTTCTTTCAATCCATAAAACAGGCAGTCTTTCAGTGACTTCAAGTCATTCTTGTTCAGATAGTTTTTACAATCTAAATAATTTATGGCCAGGGAGATTTGGAAAAATGTACAGATGAATTTAAGAGAGATAATAACATAAGCAAAAGTTTTACCTTAGGTCTGTATATACACAATGTCAGTTTTAAAACTTTTTTCTATAATACTGTCTAAACTAGAATCCGGTACTTGTGTTTTAAAAGGAAAGATACAACAGTGGAAATATAAATCAAATATTTGGTGAAAGAAAGAGCTGATTACTCACATAAACTATGCTCCAATAACAGTAGGACACATACATGCTTTCTTAGAGCATGGTGCACATATTTTATTTCCATTAAGACTACCATAACCTCATTTTCTGCCTGAATAAATTGGATAAGCTATAAAATGTATCTGCAAATAACAAAGTTATTTTGTGCCTGAAACACATTTGGTGAATGTGCACTACATGGGAACCTACCTTGCAAATGAGCTACACAGTATGGGTTGTACACAGTATGGGTCGTTTGTGAAACAAGCAAACGGCCTCACCATGGGTTATCTTTCCAACTTTCCCCAGTCTTTCTGCAGGTACCCCAGGGGAATCAGCAGCATGACCCGCCCTGTCTCTTCTCCCTGCTGTGACCACAACCCCTTGAAGTTGCTTCAGTTTGCTTTCCATCCCCCTCACTTTTTTCCTTCCAGATACTGCTTTTTGCGAAGGGGGCTGTGAGGGGTATTCAATGTATTCTCGGTATCGGGTTGATTTGCTATTGATGTGGGTAATTTAACAATTTCATTAGCTAATGACACTATCTGAGGGTATACATGCAAAATTTCAAGTAAGTGTGATCATTAGTTCCCTAGTAATCCTCAGTGAAAGACGACCATGATGACTGATGCGACAATGTTGAAGAAAATCGAGCACTGCGCTGTGATTAAGTTCCTTACAAAACAAGGAAAAAGTCAAAAAATCATTCAAGAAGAGATGATGGCCGTTTACCAGGACTCTGCACCTTCATTATCTAATGTTCAAAAGTGGTCAAATGAATTTAAATAGGGCAGAGAAAGCACTGAAGATGACCCTTGCTCAGGCGGGCCAGTTACTTCCACTACAAAAGAAAATGTGAAAAAAATGGAGAAACTTGTATTGGAAGATGCCAGAATAAAAATCAAAATGTTAGCAGAGATGACAAACCTATCTGTTGGTACCATATTTACTATTTTTCATGACCATCTTAACCTTTCAAAGGTCTGTGCAAGATGGGTGCCGCGAATGCTCATGGCGCCTCAGAAACAAGTGCGAGTCGAGTGCTGTAGGGAGTTTTTAGAGCTCTGTGGTGAAGATCCATCGAGTATTTTCAACCGGATTGTTACTGGAGATGAAACTTGGGTTCATCACTATGATCCTGAAAGTAAGCAGGAGTCCATGCAGTGGCATAAAAAAGGTGTTGACCCTCCAAAGAAATTCAAAGTCACTCCATTGGCTGGAAAAATCGTGGCCACAGTGTTTTAGGACTCAAAAGGAATTTTATTGATCGAGTACACGAAAAAAGGTGAAACCATAAATGCAGCATCTTACGCAACCACTGTAATTTAAGAGAATTAAAGAAAAAAGGCAGGGAAAACGGATGGCAGGTGTGTTACTTCTTTACGACAATGGCACGTATTTCGAAGACTGCTGTGCAAGACAGTGGTTTCGAAGAAATAAACCACGTACCCTATAGCCCGGACCTGGCCCCCAGTGACTACGACCTATTCCCGAATTTAAAAAAAGATCTTCGTGGAAAGCGATTTTCCAACGATGAAGAGCTCAAGGCGGCAATTAACGCACATTTTTTAGACAAAGAGGAAGGGTATTTTTTTACAGGGAATTGAAAAGTTAATTTCTACGTAGATGTAATAAGTGTATTGAGGTTATGGGGGATTACATTGAAAAATAAAAATTATTTCAATTTATTATTCCTTTTCCTTCATGCCGATACCGAGAATCCATTGAATACATTGACTAAAAATATAGTCAATGAAACTGCTTCAAATTACCCAAGTGGCACACTGGAACAGCTTCACTGGTTCACCATGATTCTTGACTGTGTGTGCGTGTGCCTGAGATCAGTGCAATTTTCTTCATTCTTTTGTTTTTGTTAGACTGTCAGAGGTGCATAGCTCCGCAACTGTGAATATTCCAAATATCCAGTCCTGCCTTATCAACACCCTAGGATTATGTCCCCTGTCCAACTACAAAAGACAACATCCATGAACAGTAACAAAGAAAGTCTACAAATAGGTTAATTTGTTGTGTTGCTTCTCACTTGACAGCTCCCAAAACTCTTGAGGGGATCTTTGCTGGGAAAAGGAAGTCACACATATATCTCCCACTTCCAGCAAGATCCTCTAGTTTTTGTGTGTTTTAGCCTTAATATTCTCAGTGTCCTCCACATTTTCCACCCTTTCCTGAGCTTCTGTGTACTCAGGAAAGGGGGAAAATGTAAACTATGGAAGCATTTATGAAACCATGGAATTCGAAGAAACTCAGGCTTCCTTTTTAAGTGGGGTTTTTGACAGGGCTAACAGATTTCATGGCTACATATATCCCTGTCCAAAACAAACGAACACTCCTATGGTGGCTTCCGTAACTGAATGCTGCACAGAAACACAACTATATTTTCTCTTAAACATGGGGATATACCTTCACATATTTAACAGATCTCAGACGCTTTTGTTTATTTTACTTTCCTAGAAATTGTATCCCTTTTCTTGGTAAATCCTCTTTCAGGAGCAAAACCCTTCTCACAGTTGTAGAAATGCTTCTATTTCATGGTAACTGACTGACATATTTTTCACTTTAAGTTTCCACTTATGAAATTGTCACAAAAGCCATTTCAGTATCTTTTATAAAGCTAAATAAGTTTATAAATTCTATACCCTTCAAAACATTAAGGATACTATCCTATGTAAGTTTCAACAGAAAAAAGTCCTAGAATTTCCTCAGTCCCTTCAGCCAGCTATACTGGCTGGAACATGGCTGGAATGCGTGCCTACAAAGTTTTTACATAAACAGGCTTAGGATTGCACCATTATTCAAGAGGACTCCTTGACAAGTTACACTGCCTGCCATTACAGTCAATGCCAATAAAATTAATGGGCCTTATAATGCTTATAATTAGCTACTGGATTGAAACTATTGAGTGAAATACATAATAACAGCAATCAGTGAGAACTTTGTGAATGACTTTAGTTAAGATTTGGACTGTGGCTGTGAATTTAAAAGATTATTAGAGGGTGAGTGCCTTGTAGTCTGAAAGATTAGTGTAGGAATTAAGACAGCTGCTAGTCTTTAATTAAATACATATGGTATATGTTGACATTGCTTTGTCTCAACGCATAAACAGAACTGATTTATTTCTGCTGAAATTAGAGCAAATGACGAACTAACTTTGGCTTTCTATGCCTATGAACATTCAAAAGTCAAAGCAAATCTCAAACTACATTTTTTAATAATTTATTTTATCTTGCTGTGCTTTATGTAAACTGCCCAGGAGGCATATAATATATCTATTTGAATGAAAAATTAACATGAACAAGGCAGTAAATAAATGCTAGAGCAACATAAACTTGAACCTAACCACCTAAGAACACTGTTTTACATCTAACTGAAGATTCCACAACAATGTGAGAGAGTCTCAACTCAAATGCAACCACCTTCTTAGCCATGCTTTTTAGCTTTTTAGTGAGCTTCCTTGCCTCTTCTCTTAGTTTCCTTGACTCTCTCCATGTTTATTATGGTAGTTCCGCATCTAGGCAGGAGCTTTGTTTTAATTATGTACTGATTTACTTCATACCCTACCTTCCTACAAAGAAGAAAGCTCTCCATTCCAGATTCTACTTTTACAAGCAAATTGTTTCAGCTTTGAGATCCCTAATAGTGATTTTGTTTCTATTTGCTATCCTCAGGATCACCGAGAGTATTAACAGCCCAACCAGCACATCCAACCAACATTGGCTGCATCATTCAGTGGACTTTTTATAAACTGCATGGTACTGAGCGGTGCCTAAATGGATGGAAACAATTATCCCATTTTGAATTTTTAACCAAAAGTTGAGAGGCCAGAATACCTTGTGCTTACTCTTTTCAAATAGTCATGATCAACCAGAAATTGGGGTGCGTACTCTGAAACAACATGATTATAACAAGTCTGACACGGTTTCTCCCCCCTTCCTTTTTCTAAATCTACTATATCTATTGTTGTGGGGTCCGCCATTTATTACCAATACTCCAGTAGCACATCATATAGCTGCCCAAATCATGTGCTGCCATTTCTTTAGTGTTTTTCCCACTCTTTATTCCACAAATTCTAATCCCACGGTCTCCTTCCTTCTCCACAAGTTCTAATTGTTAGAAGTACTATACTGGCCCAAGTGCTAGTATACCCATCCCCTACTGGTTGTCCTACAAATGTGTTAACTACAATTCCCATAATCTCCCATTAATGTACATGCTGGCTGGGGATTATGGAAGTTGGGCATTCAACTCATCTGAAAGACACTGGTAGGCTTTGGTATATTAGTCAAGTATATTTTTTCTTCTGTAAGATCTTTGTTATAAAGTATGTTATTTTTACTTTCAACAGCCTGTGTTAAGCTAATTTTCCCTATGGTGTAGCTACCTTCCCACTCTGAAGCACAGTGCATAATTTGGGAAAGGAGAAAAGGAAGAGTAGTACACTTAAAGGTTAGGAAGCAAAGCTAGAAAGTAGTTGCATTTGACTTAAGAGTCTAAACTGCCTAGAGAGCTTTGGCTATGGCGTGGTGTAAAAATGAAATAAATATTCTTAACTCAGGATGAGATAGGACAAATTGATCAGTAGTTCGACTTTGAGGAATAAAAATGAGACCTCAAGATTCCTGCCTACTTGATTGAGTTAAAACTAGCTAACTGAACATTATGAGAGCCTTTCAACTGGAAGACAGTTTGGTAGACGTATCAAGAACAAAAGATGTCCAAAGGATGCCCATATGATACTTTAGATAGCCGATTTATTTTGAGGTAAGGATGCTTGTGGGTTGGATCACGTTTCCTGCCAATTGGCCAATTTAGAGATCTCTAAATAGGTAATTTAGCTGGAGTGGTGACCTAGAAGTAAAATAAGCATTTCAAGTCAAATATCCGCAATACCATGGCAGTAATTTAATCAGTGAAGGACACATGTAGGCAGTTAGGTATTGGCTCCCTTGCTACTATCTGGAGATTTTTTGTATCTGGTATCCTTCAAGCCTTGTCCTTTTGAGGATTTTCTCAAAACAAAATATATTCTTTAACCATGTTGCCAATGTTTTACAAACTGGAATTACAAAACTTAGCTACATGTGTACCGAAAGCCATCATGGTGAAACTTCTCTGTTCCATTTAGCTGAAGACACTCTCACAGTAGGTAATAGTATGTAAATAGACCATTACCAACAAAAATGGAGGATCATTTCCTTCATATTTTGCTATGCTCTAGTGCTGTGAAGGGACTCCTGGATTTAACTTCTGTGTTGTGTACAGAACAGGGATCTGCGTAACTGTAGTACTAGTTTTATGAACTTTTATGGTCACCTGTTGTGTGCTACTCATCATCACCATGTTTTTTGCTGCCAATCTTACTATTGGCAGGCAATAAGTTATATGTCATAATCTGTTGAAATCATAAGGGCATTTTCTACTTAATTCTGATAGTACATGTAATTTTTATTACTCTTTGCTTCTACCAACTGGAATTAAGTATATGAAGGAAGGATTACAACTTGGCACACAAATGGGTCATGTGTTACTATATAATCAGTGTTAGACTTTTATACCGTATTTAGACTCTAGGACTCTAAATGCATCTGTGTCAAATACTTTTTCACAGTTGAGGTTCAGATAATTTTCCAGCTGATCAATTCTAGCCCAAAGAGAATATAAGGAAGATAAGATAGAAAACTCACTATTGCAAGTCCTCTGGTCTGAGTTCAGAATATATCCCTGTTTACATTTGCATATATAAGAGCCAGGAGTGTTGATGCAGAAGTGGTCACAACCATGTTCAATCACACTGCACATGTGTTGGACTGAAAAAAGGAAAAGCAGTATATTAGCTAGAAATGTACATGATAAAAAAACCCCTTTCTCTTCTGAAGGTTAATACTGTATATGAAAAGGCTACTTTTCAACAGGCAAAGTAAAATACATTTTAAAGTTATGAAATATGTACTAAATAGACTTTCAATCTGAAAAACAGTTTTTATGTTGAATTATCAAGTTCACATTAAAATGCAAATGTTGGACAATGAAATATTATACAGGGCTAAATGATAAACATGAGTCAGGATAGAGTATGCTATTTCCATTTATTTTTTATTTTTCTAAAGCGGGTACTCACCCGATGCTGGTATCATCTGTTTAATATCCAATCCCCATTTTCTTTTTTTTATTATCTTTTTTCCTATTCTTGCTAAGCAGTCTTGCCTTTTGTTGTTGCTTTTGCTGCTATAGTAGCAGCACAAACTGAGGCTCGAGCCTCAGGCTTGTGCATTCTGAGTGAGCTAAATGCCATGTAGCTCTGTTCCAGGTCTTTTACAAAGGCCCTTATTCTTGCTATGTTTGCTTGCACAATCTTGGAAGTGGTGTGGGGAAAGCCCGCTGAGATACCCATTAAGATGCCAGACCATTTGTAATGCATTTTTTTTTTCAGTTTTACCCTGGAGAGCATCAGTATATTTCCAGTCAATGCTTATGTTTGCACATGAAATCCTAAGATACTTGCTCTTAAAAATAAAAATAAAAACTGAATTAGGCCCCTTTCTTTAGCAGTCCCCGGTGATCTTATCTGCTTTGCCTCTTCAGTTCAGGTAATTTCTTTGCAAACTCTATCATGAGTTCTGTGCTCCATTCCTTGACATTCTCCTATTTGGAATCAGAAGATCATTTTGCAACATGATTTAGCACAGACTTGGCCCCAGGCCTTCTATCATGCTGTCCAGTACAGCACACTGCATCTTTGGAGCACTATCCAGTATTACTGCTCCACAAATGCCATTGACATAGCATTGCACTAGAGGTTGCTTACTGTAGAGCTATTAGTTCACACTAATATAATGGGTTTTAAGGCAAACCTATTGCTCCAGCGTATTCTATTGGTATTGCACTAGATGTTACTTAAGCCAGTACTATGTCATTGATGTAAGAATATGGCAGCCTTGAATGCTGTCCTTGTTACTAAATTGATTGCATGGGACTGCTGAGAAGAATGGATGGTCTGAGTGGATGCATTCCCCAGTCTCTGTGAATATTTAGCACATCTACATTTCAAAAGTGGATAAGAGGTAGATTAGGCTGGACTGTGCTGTTCCACACCATTTAAGCATGATGCCAGCATGGTAGTTTTCTTGTACAAGATTTTATTTTCACTTTCAAGAAACTTCCAGCAATTTCACATGGAAGCACAAAGCTCTAGGCCAGCTTCTCATCTGAAGCCCACTGACGTTGGCTATGCAGGCTGAAGATGATGGAAGGTTGAGGAACTCTATTCTAAGCAAATGTATCCTAAAATACAATTCACACATGTGTGTTCAGAGTTCAGTCAGAGCATTCACAACTTAAAAAACACGGTAAGTATGATAGAGGGCACTGCACATGAATGTGTGAATCAATTGTCACCAAACTGTTCTGGTATGCATTTGTTCACACTTTAAAGCCGGGGCGGGGGGTGCGGGGGAGAATAAAGCCTTTGAAAGGTATACTTAAATGACTTACCACAAAGTTTTGTCTGAAATACAGATGTCAGTGTTTCTATTTGGCTAAAATTTGCAACCAGAAATACATGGTTTTCATAAGGTTCGCTACCAATGGACTTGAGCGTATTCATATCCACTTTTCCCACACCAATAGCAAAAATCAGGATTCCTGAATTCCGAGCTTTTGCTGCAACTTCTGCAACAGGGTCCTGTGGTCTCCCATCTGTCACTATCATGATTACTCTGGGTACATTCTGAGAGAGTGGTCGAGCTCCTTCAAATTCTGAAAATGCAATGTTCATTGCATACTGAATAGCTAATCCTGTCATAGTACCAGTAGCAAGGTACATCATTCTTCTCACGGCTCTCTCCACATCTTGTTTCCTCCTAAAGGTCTTCAGGGAAAATTCATTTTTGACAGTGCTGGCATACTGGATGAGTCCCACTCTAGTGGCATCTGGACCAATGTCCAAAAACTGCAGGATGTTTAAGATGAATTCTTTTACTTTCTCGAAGTCATAAGGGCGAACACTACGAGAGCTGTCAATGATGAACACAAGATCCAGTTGTTTCTTATTGCAAACTTTTTCTGGGAGGGCAAAAAAAGGGCAAAAATATAATTAACAGTATAAAAGAAGCTATCCCACAAATTAAATAGAAGCTGCTAAGTAGAGGATTTTTATTTGGAATAAGAAATAGGAGAAACCAACATGCACCCAGGCTTCATCTATCAATAATGTTATTACATGTAATATAGTTGAAGACATATATCGTGAGCTAGTTAAAAAATGGCTCCAACTAAGTTACACCTAATAGTAAGTAATACAGGAATAGGTTTTTATGGCCCTCCAAATGTTTTTGCCTACAACCCATCAGCCCTAGCAAGCCAAATCAATGGTGAGAGACCATTGGAATTAATGGTAAAATAGTCTGGAGGGCCACATGTTTTTTCAGCTCTGACTTATGCTACAGATTCTTATGTGCAGCCTGCATATTCTGAAATTATTGTTCTACCACTAAAGCAACTTGCCCCATCATATATGATTTGGGAAGATGCAAAGTGGAAAGGTTGTCTTTTCCAACAACCCAAGAGATGACTCTACACATGGACATCACCAGACGGTCAACACAGAAATCAGATTGACTACATGCTCTGCAGCCAAAGATGGAGAAGCTCTATACAGTCAGTAAAAACTAGACCAGGAGCTGACTGTGGCTCAGATCGTGAACTTCTTGTTGCAAAATTTAGGCTTAAATTGAAGAAAGTGGGGAAAAGCACTAGGCCACTCAGGTATGACCTAAATCATATCCCTGATGAATATACAGTAGAGGTGACAAATGATTTAAGGAATTAGATCTGATAGACAGAGTGCCTGAAGAACTATGGACGGAGGTTTGCAACATTGTACAAGAGGCAGCAACTAAAACCATCCCAAAGAAAAAGAAATGCAAGAAAGCAATATGGCTGCCTGAGGAAGCTTTACAAATAGCTGAGGAAAGAAGGGAAGTGAAAGGCAAGGGAGAAAGAAAGATACACCCAATGGAATGCAGAATTCCAGAGAACAGCCAGAAGAGATAAGAATGCCTTCTTAACTGAACAGTGCAAAGAAATAGAAGAAAACAATAGGGAGGACCAGAGATCTCTTCAAGACAATTGGAGATAAGTAGGGAATATTTCATGCAAATATGGGCATGATAAAGGATCAAAATGGCAGGGACCTAACAGACGCAGAAGACATTAAGAAGATGTGGCAAGATTACACAGAAGAACTACACCCACTTGGTGTTGGGTGACCGAGACAGATTGGGGATTCTGTTGGTGTACCGTGCACCCTTCTGCCCAACAGACTCCCTGCTTGAGCTGACGGAGATCGTCTCGGACCTGGTGTTGAAGACTCCCAGGATGTTGGTCCTGGGGGACTTCAATCTCCATGCCGAGATGGTTCTAACCAGGGCAGCTCAGGACTTCATGGCCTCCATGGCGGCCATGGGGCTGTCTCAACACGTCATTGGCCTGACCCATGAACGTGGACACACTCTGGACCTAGTTTTCTCGACGGGGCAGGAAGAGAGTGATCTGAGGGTGAGGAATTTAAGTTTGATGCCCTTGTCATGGTCAGATCACTTCCTCATAAGGTTTGAGCTCGAGAGCGGCCTTTCCCTCTGCAAGGGTGCGGACCCGATTGTATTGGTCCGCCCCCAGAGCCGGATGGATCCTGACGGATTCCTGGAAGCTCTGGGAGACTTTCCGGTTGACAAGGCTGGTGATCTGTTGATGCCCTGGTTGAACTGTGGAATGAGGAGATGACCAGGGCTATTGACACGATCGCTCCCAAGCGTCCTCTCCCACCTGGCAGAGCCCGTATATCTCCTTGGTATACACCTGAATTGCGGGCAATGAAGCAGGTTGGGAGACGTCTAGAGCATAGGTGGAGGAGATCATGGGGTGATTCTGACCGAACACACTTAAGAGCCCATTATTGGGCCTATGCTGTGGTGGTGAGGATGGCGAAGAAGAAATTCTTCTCCATTTCCATTGCCTCCTCACAATGCCGTCCAGTGGAGTTTTTTTGGATGGTGCAGGGGCTGATACATCCGGGCCCAAAGAAAGATCTTGTGCCACCCTCGAAGGCCCGCTGTGACGACTTTGCCAAGCATTTCAGGGAAAAAATCGCTCAGATTCGCCACGAGCTTGACTCTGCTACTGAATCAGATTCTACTGGGGAGACGTCATCGACGCCGTTGAGTCCACAATTAATGGATGAATTTCAGTTGTTGCGGCCTGATGATGTGGACAAGGTGCTTGGACAAGTACGTCCTACCACCAGCTTACTAGACTCATGCCCATCTTGTCTCTTGAGGCTTACTAGACTCATGCCCATCTTGTCTCTTACCAGATCATCTTGTCTCTTGAGGCAGAACCACTGATTGGTTCAAAATTGAAAAAGGAGTTCGGCAAGGCTGTATACTGTCGCCCAGCCTATTTAACTTATATGCAGAGCACATCATGAGAAAGGCGGGGGTAGATGAATCACCAGTTGGACTTAAGATTGCTGGAAGAAATATCAACAACCTCAGATATGCAGATGATACCATTCTCATGGCAGAAAGTGAAGAGGAACTAAAGCTCCTCTTGATGCAGGTGAAGGAGGAGAGCGCAAAAGTTGGCTTGAGACTCAACATTAAGAAAATTAAGATCATGGCATCCGGTCCTCTCACTTCCTGGCAAATAGATGGGGAAGAAATGGAGGTAGTGACAGATTTTATTTTCCTGGGCTCCAAGATCACCGCAGACCGGAACTGCAGCCAAGAAATTAAAAGACACTTGCTCCTGGGGTGGAAAGCTACGGCAAATCCATACAGCATACTAAAAAGCAGAGACATCACCCTGCCAACAAAAGTGCATATAGTCAAGGCTATGGTTTTCCCAGTTGCAATGTATGGCTGTGAAAGTTGGACCATAAGGAAGGCTGAGTACTGAAGGATTGAGGCCTTTGAATTGTGGTGCTGGAGGAGACTCCTGCGAGTCCCTTGGACTGCAAGGTGATCAAACCAGTCAGTCCTAGAGGAGGTCAACCCTGGCTGCTCTTTAGAAGGCCAGATACTGAAGATGAAACTCAAATACTTTGGCCACCTAATGAGAAGGAAGGACTCCCTGCAGAAGAGTCTAATGCTGGGAACAATAGATGGCAAAAGAAGGAGGGGACGGCAGAGGATGAGGTGGCTAGATGGAGTCACTGAAGCAGTTGGTGTGAGCTTAGGTGGACTCCAGGGGATGGTGGAAGACAGGAAGGCCTAGAGGAATGTTGTCCATGGGGTCACGATGGGTTGGATATGACTTCGCAACCAACAACAACAAAGTGGAAAGGACTTCAATTACTTTGCCTGACATACTATAGTCTTAAGAAACTTGCTGAAGTATATTTACTGACATGTTTCTGCAAATTACTGGACAGGAAATGTCCCTATTTTCAGTTGGTTCCTTATAGTTCTTTTTTCAGCTGCCAATTAAGTTTCTAGGTATGGATGATGATGATGATATTTGTGGACTATGAAGTAATAGTATGGAATAGTCTTATTCACTTGGAGCTTGCAATCTTACAAACACAGGATCACAGAACTGCTACTAACGTTTTCAAAAATCATCAATGACTGAATACATACCAAAATGAGCAAAAGTGGCATTCCATTCCTAATGTAATTCAAAAATGCTGGTGCATTAATGTTCCATATTATTATTTTAGTATTACTTTATCTAATACTTTCCTTTTTCTAGAATAGAGTAATACATAAATAACCATAGTATAATAATTAGACAATGATAACATGTGAAAGATATTTACAGGAATAAAATCAGAGAAAAAATAAATTGTGATTAAGGCCTAAACTTAGTTAACCCCAAACTAAGAAGTTTGGTGCTGAATCTGAGATCTTGGATCCATGTCACCATTCTTTTTTCCAGCTATGCCTTAAACTGAAATTTTCTATGTTGATTCTGGTGTAGTTGAAATGAAAAAAAAAAAAAAAGAAATTGTGAAATATTTTGCATACTTTATGTCAGTCATCAATTCAAAAAGAGACTGCAGCCAAAAAACAAGAAGAAGACTGAGATTTGGAAGGTCAGCAAGGAAGGAACTAGGAATCAAATGTAAGGATGTTTCATTGGTGACCAAAGCCAAGATCATCCACATTACTGTATCCTGAATAACTATGTATGGGAGTGAAAGCTGAACAGTGAGGAAAGCTGACAGGAAGAAAATTTATGTGTTCAAAACATGGTGCCTGAAGGGAGCTTTGTGAATACCCAGGACTGACAGAAAGATGAAGTGGGTCCTAGATCAACTCCAGCTAGTACTCACTGCAGAAGCAAAAATGATGAAAGTGAGACTATGAAGACTCACTGGGGAATACAATAGTGCTAAAGAAAATCAAAGCCAGAAGAAGAGGAAGACTAACAATGTGATGGCCTACTTCCATAACCCTTTATGGCCTAAAGGAAGCCACAGCCCTGAGCTCAAGAGCTGAGTAAGGCTGAAGGTCACTCATTTATACAGTTGCCATAATGCAGACTAACTAGATGGCACATAACAACAATATCTGCATGAAATATCTACTTCAGTCCTAGCAGATTTTCATATACGTATTACCTATAGCCCTTGTAAAGTTTAGACTCCTTTTTAAAATATCTACTCCATGCTCAAGTATTACAAAGAGTAAAGGGAATTTTGGTTCCTTGTGATTAAACCCAATGTTGCGCCACTGGACTTCCACCCATGCAATGAGATTTTCCTTTGCTCCCCAAATCTGCTTTAGTGGATCTCCCAGTCCTCTGCAGCAGATCAGGGGGGCACATGGAGAGGTGGTTGCAGGGAAGGGAAAATCTACTGCACCAGTGGTTTGTTTCTTTTCTGCTGATAGAAAGTCAGTATTGCCTATAACCATTAATTTTTGAGCATCTGCCAATTGTCCATTTCCCTTTGGAACTGCACCCAGTTTTGCTTTTATAAAATCTAAAAGTAAAAGAAAGTTTCAATAAAGGAAATGTAAAGATATCTATTTTACTACCCTTCAAATTTTACTGATGTTATTTTTCAAAACAAGTATCTTTTCCTGAAATTGATCTCCCACTCCCCTTCCCTTATTATTGTCTATAAAAATCTACTCCAAGAAGTAGTATAGTACTCATACTTCTCATTTATACATGTTTTCAAGAATGTTTTCTTAAAATGTGGTATATACATATTCTAAATAAACAACTGCAAGCATTAGGAACTCTTATGCTGTATATATTTATTTTGTCTGAGAAAGACTCAAAGCAACTCACCAAAGGAAGCAGCATCATTCTGTTGACTAAAAAGTGTCCTTGGAAGGTGTCTTTCTTTAGCTGCAGCAGAGAAAAGTTCAGCCAGCAATACTAAGTATGCAATAATTTTCTTCATTTTTCAGGAAGATGAAAGAGTGGAACAAGACAGACAATTGGAGCAGAACACTGACAACAAGAAAAAATGAGACAACTTTTTTCATCTGGCAACCACTCCTACAATGTAGCATGTCTTCTCTTATGGTTTCTTTCTGAATGTATATACAAACAACATATATAAAACAGTAACAAAATTAGTAAAGGACTTTAGAAGATGTTGTAAAACTGCTTCTAAGGGACAAATTCATGGTTTTGTTCATTTGCATCCCATTTTTCTTACAAGCATGTTTATTTTCACAACAATCATGTTAGGAATCACAACAATCATCATTACAAAAGAATCAGTTTCTTTGTAAGAACCCAAAGTTACATTCTACACCAGTGGGTTCTTTACCTGTTTTAATCTGTGTTTGCATATTTTATGTGTTAATTTACATTGCCTTGTGAAATTAGCTTTAGTTCTAGTGCAGAAAGGCAAGATTTTAAAAACAGATTATGTATGCCACCTTGAGTTCTTTGCAGGAAAAAGGTGAGGTTTAAATATAATATAGTTATAATATATAGACAACTAAATAAGATTTTAACAGACAATGCAAATATATAATAAAGAAAATGCATGCCAAAAGCTTAGTAAGCAGCCCAATAATTCATAAGATTTCTTTTAAATTACATTTGGAACCACTGGAATATCTGCAGATAATACTGCCAGTGTACTAAACAGAACCACAAAAAGCATATAGTAATCACTGAGACAGTAATTCCTTAGTTTGGTCAATTTTGCATAATTTCCACTGGATGTGGGGAAGCTGGACTTACTGTGGAAGAGTTTTGTAATGACAACATTAACCGTGTTCTTACCAAGTTATGTTCAGCTACCTCACAAACAAAAGATCTTTTCATCAAAGATTCTTTAGAAATAGATTAATCTGATCTCTTTGAGATGACTCTGTGACTGGCAGCAGTTTCCGTAAATATGTAAGAATAGTAATACCACGGAGTTGGCAAAGGCAGGTTATTCATTTTGAACAGTTAGAGCTCATGGGATTGAAACGGCTGTTCTGCATTAACCGCAAACCATCAGCACGGAAAACACAATTTTAAAAGCACATCCTTGTGAAAACATTACATGGAGAATGTAATCACCCATTTCCTAGGGGCATCTGTGAACAGGATCTTGTGTACTGTTCATGAATAACGCTGTGGAAAGCTGCGGAAAAGCTGCATAATTATTAACTCCCACTGAAAGTTTCCACGTGCATGTGTCCACACGTTAAGAAACCCAGCTTTGAATATTTGGAAATGTAATACACAGAATAGCCATGTCTGTTCAGGCCCACTTTAATCGGTTCTTATTTCATATGATCCAAGCAAGACTGTGAAAAGATGGGCCAACTGAGTTTTGGCAGTAATTAAGCCTCATTACTATACAAGGCAGCAAAAATGGATGACGCCTCCACTCCCTGTACTTGAGAAAAGGGTACAAGACTTGTATTACTGGTGAAACTGTTCCAAGCGTAGCAAGATCATTATTAGGTTTTGGCCACTGCTATATGGTAACTTGATACAGGTGCCTGAAATCACTACATTGTGCCTGGGCCATTATTATGCTTTAACTTCTGCTATATGGAATTTTATATAGGCGACTGAAAGCTGAAGGAGTGAATGAGATAGTGGAAGATACCTGCAGGAGCATCTGCTACCCCTCACAGTTCCAGCCCTGCAAGAATTATTTTGGGGAGGAACCAAAGAAATTCCGCTAAAGGATAACAAGCGGTAATGGTCCCGCCAAAATTTCCCCCTAGCCAGTTCACGCCTTCAGTGTCCAGTCACCCAGGATGGCTTGATACAGCAGGGTTAAAGCTTTGCTCTCCTAGGCTGCTCCTCCGAACCATTTTGCTTATTTCCTGACATTAGCTCTGCTCGCCAAAGAAGGTCTGCCCAAAACTCGTGCGGTGAAGTGGACCTGCTCCTCCGCCGACACAACGCTCCCCTCTGCAGTCTGGCGCTCGTCTGGAAGCTGGCTCTCTCCCAAGGATCGGAAGTGCCCCCTCTGGTGCACTTGCGTGTCCCTGTCACGGAGAGCGATAATTAAGCGCTGCCGCTACGAGGCGGGGAAGGCGGCTTGCTGGACTGCGGGGAAGGCAGGCGAGGAGCGTGAAGCCCTGCAGCACATCACCAGCTCGGATCGCTGGCGCCAAAAAGCCGGCGCGCCTCTTACCTGCCGCGCAGGCGTCTCTTCCTCCTCCCGAGGTTCCGCGGCGACCCCGAAAGCTCGGAGAGGCTAGGCGGGAAGGGCCCGGCGCGGAGAGCGGAGCCCTGCTGTCAGGACGGTGCAGAGGCGAGGAGGGTGAGCCGCGGCGCCGCAAGTCGCCTCCCAGTCCCGGCCCTGAGAGGGCGCTCGGCGGCGGGGAAGGGGAGGAGACGGCCGGAAGGGTCCGGCCCCGCGCGAGGCGGCGGCGGGCAGTACTTTGTGGAGGGTGCCTGGCGAGAGGCGCCCTGGACAGTGGATCTGGATCTTGGTGGGAAGCGGGGTTTGGAGGCTTTGGAGTTACTTTGCTTTGGCCACCAGTACAGCCGGGAAGGCAGGATGCAGCTTTTTGCGGTGCCGGAGTGTAACTTTGAAATCCTCCTTAGGGACTCACAGTTCTGCTTTGCTTTTCTTGCAAACTCTAAAGACTAAGCTGTACTCGTCTGAAAGCTATCCTTATTTTGCAGGCCTCTTTATTTTTATTTATTTATTTATTTATTTAGGAGATTTATATGCCGCCCCATTCGCCGAAGCCTCGAGGCGGCTCACAACCACCAAAACTCAATAAATAATATAAATTAACAGTATAAATTAAGTCGCCTCCCTTTAGTCTTATGCTAAAAATACTCAACATGAGTATTAACCTCCAGTTTTCGAAGAAGGAAATCAAGGCAGTTTACAAATAAAATACCAAAGAATGCACCACAATTGAATCGCCACCATAAAGGGCTGGAAATTCAAGCAAACCAGGAACAACATTGTCATATGTACAGAAGTAACTTTTTCTCGACTGAAGGCATTCTATCAGGTCTCAACTGGAAGAGCATTCCACAAAGTAGGATTCACCACTGAGAAAGCCCTGCTCCAAGATACCAGATATCTAGATTTGGAACAATGCATGAGAAAGGAGATGCGTAGGAAGTCTGTCCTCAGAGTTCCCAGGCGCCAAGCTGCTAAAAACTAGGGAATGCTTTAACTGGTTTTTGATTCTGTCCCGGAACAGTATGTTTGAGGGTTCTTTGATACGAAGTTGTAATAAAAATGGAACATAATATTTCCTTCTTGGTTGTTTTTCTTTTAAGTAAACGACAAATGGTTTTTAACTTCTAAAAAAACTCAAACGCCCATAGTGTGAGGATTTCCAGTCTCAGTTTCATCTTGTTCTAGAGTAGCACCCTAATTTTTGAATGCAGCAGTTTCCCCCTTTTAACTGCAAAGATTAACAAAATCCAATCATAAGTAATGTCTTCTCACACCTAATCTGAGGTGTAAATGACTGCATGATTGTCCCCTCTTCTCTGTTTCCTTTTCCCACCCTACCTGCTCCCTTGCAAATCAAACATCAGCTTTTCCTTTCCATTGCTGTAAAGGCAGGAACCTAAAAGAAGAACAGCAAACTTCTTCAAGCCTCAACATTTTTCATAAGAAAACTGCTGGGAGCAATATTGGCAATGTGCTATTACCTGCTATTACCTTGCTTCAGTAGTTCGGGAGTACTCCTTCCTCAGCTTGTGGACTCGCATCCCATTCCACTCCCAGGTAGTGGAATGACCACTTAAAATGTCTTTACAATGGCACAAAGTCTGCTGAGCCGCCCAGCCCACATCTTCAGGAGATGTTCCCCACAATTGCATCGCTTTTTGACCTGGCTAGTGCAACTTTCTGAGCACTGCTTCTTGGCAAAGCACCCCCTGAGTGAACAGTGAGAGGTGTTTGCTCTTATTTTTGCTTGGAGGAGCCCCAGCCAGTTCAGATCTGGACCAACATGGTATGCAAAGAGCAATTGAGAAATCTACAGACTTGCCATTCTGCCTTTGTATCGCTTCCTTCATCCTCAACTGTTCTGAGCCGGTGTTTGCAAACTGGGCTCAGCAAATGGATGAGAGAAGTTGTCTTTGCTGTTTTTCTGCCAAGGAGGAATGCCTCAGCAGGAGATAGAGCTCCTGTTTATGGAAATGGGTCTTGCCCAGCATTCAGGTAGCAAGAAATTCATCAGCATAGTATCAGCATCATCCCACCCCTTTCTCCTTATGTTTTTGGGGCCTGGTATAGTTTTAGGAATACTAGACCTAGCTCTAAATTATTTTTTCAAAGAGCAGAGGGAGCCATCATGGCCATAAGCAAAGTTGAAAATTTTGTATTATCAGCAAAAACCCACAAAACATGCAAGCTTTCAAGATCTTCAGATCTCTTCATAGGGGAAGATGTAACAGAAAGAAAGTAGAGAAAAGGGGGAGCCCCTAGGACTGCTGGCCTAAGGAAAGGCAGATACATTTTTGAAAAGGGAGGTGTTCCAAGTAAAACCTAAAACCATCAGATTATCTGCCAGATCCTTATTTGAATGGCTACAGACCTTTCCTCCATTATTGCATCTCAAGTTAGCGATCACATAGACACCATGACTTCTAGATCAAGTCAAGGTTTTCCCCTTCTCTCTTACCTGTGCCAATCTGCTTTTTGGAACATCTTGCTTGATGCAGAGCTTTGGAGAACTTTAAAGCTTGCACATTTGTTGTGATCTTTTGGTTGGCTTAATCTATTACACTAATATGGATTTTTGAATTTCCATTTTCAAGGAAATCTACCACATAAAGGTTTGTGAACTGGAAGTATCATTCATCCTGATAGGAAAATGGCTTCAGAGCAAGTTAAAGCAAAGAGTTCTTGCTGAATTAATGTGTATTTCCATTAAATTAAATATGGCTGCAAAGCCTTGGGAATTTACAGTAAAGTTGAATGCAAGAAATGTCCTGTTGTTTTCAAAAGCAGACCAGATGGAACAATCATATATT